TATTGTGTCAGCATTTGGAATTAATAGATAGTTTTTACCATTTCATGTCAAGTTTATCTTATTGATTGGTTGTAAGCAATTGAATTTCTTTTCTTTTTCAGGCTCTTTCAATTCTTGTTGATTGTTACTTCTACAAGAGATGGACATCGTCGGTTTTCAATCTGTTGGTCTATAATGTCCTTGGAGGTGGTGAGAGCCATTTATATGGGACTGAAGGACCACTATTTTATCTGAGGAATGGATTTAACAACTTTAACTTCTGTTTTGTCCTTGCTTTACTTTTCCTGGGAATATTACCTATTGCTAGGAAAAAGTACACTCCAGACCTGCTGATTGTGGTCTCACCTCTTTATATATGGCTGGCATTTATGTCCTTGCAGCCACACAAAGAAGAAAGGTTTGACTATTCATTATCCTAAATCTGGTGCATGCACGCATGTATGTATAAGTCTTTGCAATGAATTTTAATTTACAGAAAATATCTGGTGTGTAGAGAGAGAATTCACAATGAAGTTGGAAGTAAAGCTTCTTAAAAGGAACATTATCCTAAATACCGGATTCAAGAAAATTTTCATGTATATCTTTTAAAAGTCAAATTCATAGTATATAAATTAAACAATGTGAGAAGGTGCATGGCAAAATATTTTCTGAAAAGAAAAAGAAGGATAAAGAGTAAATATATGGAATAAAAAAATTGAAAATCAAAAAGCAATTGTAGTTCTTATCAAGTTATGATTTGTGTTGCACAAACAAACATCTAGAGTCAAACAATTCAGCATGTACATTTCTGTTCTAAGAATTAATATTACTAAAATTGTGTATCAGATTGTCAATTATTGCACGAGTTTTTTGAATTAAGAATTTGTTAATTCTAATAGTTCTTCAGTTAACTTTGGACCTTTGTTTCTTACATAAGTGCAAAACAGGTTTTATACTAAAGTGGAGAATGATCGTAATTGTCTTCATTATGTCTTTTGCATATATGCTAAAACAGAAAATAGGTGTTATATGAAATTATGTTATGGTATCGGTTATGGTGTAAGAATAGATCTCTCATTGATTACTTGAGGTTTTTCAATTAAGGGATCTGGCGTGGTTTTTTATAGGCTTCTAGGATAGTTCTGGGACCCTTGTTTTACTCCAACTTGCAGTTTCAGGTCTAGATGCTTTTAAAGTTGCTCTCTTTTTATCTTCTTCATTGTTAACCTTTTAATGCACCTGTCTTGTGCTGTAAATGATTTGTTCTTGTTGTTGTTTGACTCCACCTTGCATACCCTGCAATGGCATATGGAAGTTCAATTTATGTTATTTATTTATTTTTTGTTTTTGCAACCACAGGTTCCTTTATCCAATATACCCACTTGTTTGTGTTGCTGCTTCAGCTGTCATTGAGAGCTTTCCTGATCTTTTGCATGACAAGCATAATCCCAATGAACCTTCTCTGATGGTTATGGTGGGCATCTTCTACATTCTTTTGATTCTTTATGCCTACAGAGTGAGCATGTGTTTATCTTCTAATATTTCTTCTTTATGCAGATAGCCAAAGTTCTCAGACCTGTTGCCCTTAGCCTCATACTGGCTGTCTCACATGCACGAACATTTTCATTGATTAATGGTTATGGTGCTCCTTTGGAGATATACAAGATCTTGGAACACCATGATGATGCAGGAACAGGTAACAATTTGAATTCTTGTTATGCACAAAATTATTTGTTCCTCTATATCTACACTGCATATTTTTCTCTAAGATCTGAAAATATGGCTTCAAGATGACATTTCGCTATAAATACCAACTGTGCTTCTATATTTCTATGCATGTTCTAAAATTGAACTGGCCAAAGTTTTAGAGAGGTGACCTTATTTTACAAATTTATTACTTCTATTAGTTCCGATTTTCCTCAGAAATGTATTCTTTTCATTTATTTTATATATTTTATTCTTTGTTTATCCCCTGCAATGTCCCTGAAGTACTTCATGGATTTTAGCCTTACTATTGATTCCCTTAGTTATTTGCTGGATTCCCTGAGCCCTTTATTTATTGGCAATGATGGACATTTCCCAAAGCATTATTTCATTGGCTGGAGAAAAAACTTTTTTTAAATGACATACCAATTGGGAAAAATTAATAGCAAATTAATATCAATAAATGCATTAATCTCCTAATATTTCTTTTCTTGTTGCAGGTTCTGTACTTTGTGTTGGAAGTGAGTGGCACCGCTTTCCGTCATCATTTTTTGTTCCTGAATTTGTTAGTGAAGTCCGTTGGATTGATGATGGGTTCCGAGGTCTTCTTCCATTCCCATTTAATTCTAGCCTAGGAGGGACTTCAGCAGCTCCAGCATACTTCAACAACAAAAACAAGGCATCACAGGAGCAATATGTAGTTAACCCTGTCCCTCATTAATTCATTTGAAAAGTCCCACACGTATGCTTTTTCTCTGTTTTTCCATTATAAGGTGACTTGACCCACAATCTGAAATTGCAGCTCCGAGATCTTGAAGCCTGCACATTCCTTGTGGAACTGCATCTGAATCGACCTTATCCATATCGTGGAAGTGATTTATCTACATGGGAGGTAAAACCAGTGCCCCTTTGCTCATACCCTTATTTAATCAATTTCCTTGCACGGTTTATTGAAATTGCATGCACTTCAGCCTATTGCAGCCCTGCCGTACTTGGACAGAGATCTCTCACCTGCAATGTATCGCTCATTTTTCATCCCACACCTCTGGCAACAGAAAAATGTTTTTGGAATGTACAAACTTCTTAAAAGGTTACCTAAATGATTTATTACATTCTAACTGAGTTGATTTTTGACGTGTGTGTTATCAATTTACTGTCCGGATCTAGTGACTGTAGCTACTCTTGCTTTGAAGATTTGATCTGATTTTCTGCTAATTGAAACTAGAATTTCTTTGATCTAGTTATTGTTGATTTGATATTTTCCCTTTTCTTCTTGTGACTCAAAAAAGGAAAAAAAAAAGAGTTCTAGTGGGATAATTAGTCTATTTCTTCGGCTTTCCTCTCATTTCCTAATTTTGAATTTTGTTGAAATTATTTTACCCTTTACCCTATTTTTGGTTAATTAGAAGGTCAACAAATAAATTAGCAAAAATGAACGAGTCTTTCTCCCTCAAAACCCCATTAAAAATAGAAAGTTAAACAATAAACAAGAGAAAAGAGACGCATTTACCCTATAAAAGGGAACTTTTGATGCATGCAAAATTTCGTCCTGCATGCAACAAAGAGCAATAAAAGAGAAAATGGCAAAGAATTCGGGAGTTGCCCTCTTCGCCGCAGCTCTCTGCTTCTCCTCCCTCTTCAGCCTGGCCTTAGCCACCACGGATGAACACTTCTTCGTCGAAGGCAGGGTATACTGTGACACTTGCCGCGTCCAATTCGAGACCAAACTTAGTGAATACCTCCAGGGTATGCCAATACTTTTAACTTTGTTTCTTCAATATTGCATAATTATTTTTCTACAGTACGGGAAAGTTGTAAGCAAAAGCTGTGTAATTAAGTCGTCCATGATATCACTATAAAATATATATATATATATATATATATATTAGAATCATGGGCCTAATTAGAAATTAGCAGTGATAGAGTTGCAATACCACAAAAGAATGTAATTTTATAATTTTATATGGTATTAAATAAATATGATATGATATTAAAATTTTAAACACACACAATATTATAGGTAAACTCTTAAATGAAAAGGATTAATTATATAATAATATATTATGCTGTGAATTTATAATATTACATGATATTATAATTATAATATTTTTTACTAGAACTAAAAATGTCTCAATAGTTTTCTTTTTTATTATAGGTGGTGTTAGATTTGACTCCTAAATTAGCCTTCCTAAAATTTGGTTCAAAATTAAACATAGTAAGTTCTGTTGTGGTGCAGGGGCAAAGGTGGCGCTGGAATGCAGGAAGCGCGAGGGTGGTGACATCACATACAGCCAAGAGGCCATAACAGGCACGGATGGTAAATACAAGATAGCCGTCCAGGGCAATCATGAGGAGGAGATTTGTGAGGTGAAGGTGGAGAAGAGCCCCCGTGATGATTGTGGTGAGATTGTGCAAGGGAGGAATAGGGCTAGAGTCGTCCTCACCAACAACAATGGGGTAGCTCAACCTGTTCGCTTTGCCAATTCTCTTGGATTTTTGAAGAACGAACCCGTTGCTGGCTGTCACCAAGTCCTCATCGACCTGGGCTTCATTGGGGTTCAAATTTAAGATTAAAAACTCTGTGGGGCAAGTTGACTATGTCTAAACATTAATTAATATGTATTGTATTGATATGGGAAACTTTATGCAGTGACGAAAATGGATAAAATTTACTAATATCAAACTTTATGCTTGTTAATCTCTCTTTTTTTAATCCCAATAGCTGGATTATATACATAAAGTCGATGTGAGTATATCTTTAAAATTACTTAAAAAATAAATTTGAAGATATTCAAATTGTAAATATATAAAAAAAAATTATAATACATATCAACTAACAAACACATTAAAAATTAACAAACATAACACTAAAGTAAATTATTAATTATACCAAATCAGTATAAAATAAGGCAAACGTATATCAAACAAGACTCAAATCTTGAAACTCGAAGCCTTTTAAAACATTGTTTCACCATCAGATCAAGAATTCTTTGGCTTAGGCTACTTCTACATTAAAATATATAGACTTGGGGACCTAACTCCACCAAAATGGGACATGCATGACACATATAGGCAGACCTGTTCAGCGTTAGACTAACGCAAAGCAAAGACAGCGATGCTAACACCGGCAACACTCCCAATTCGCAAAAGCAAGACACCCCGTGAATCAATAATTGCCATTACTACTGTATATATCTTGCCCAATGAAAAACTAGACTATTTAGTAATTTCAATTAATAGTGCTATATTAGTGTGAACATGCAATATACTTCTCTTCCTATTTACAAATTCATAGTTTCAATTTGTAACCCCATTTCATCCAAGAAATTCTTTTAGCCTCATCGAACTATAAAGCATTTTTAATAAAATTTTGTTCTCCTCGACTTAAAAAATCTACTAAACTCATATGTTTGGTTATGAAAACTCTCATTTAACAACTTACTTTTTTAAGGAGTTGAGCCAATTGAAAAAATGATAAAGGGTGCATTCAAAATTACTTAGTAGTGCTATAATTGTGGTTGTTTGTGTATTTTACTATCACCAAAAAAAATATTATTATTGAGAACTATTTTTCTTAAGTATTATATATACATATATGTTTTAATTTATAAGTTATTAATTAAGATCCATTTAATTATAAAAATTTAACATTTTCAGCTGTGCATGATTGCATGGCTATATATAAAAAATGATGATGCGAAAGTAATTAATTTCAAGTTCATCCAAAGAGATACCACATTAAATGTATAATAATGACTTAATAATAATTTTACACACCATAAATGTGGGCATGAAATATAATATTGGCTATAAGTAACTAATAATAAGAGTCTAACGCGTTTAAGATTAATTTTACAACACTTTAAAGCACCAATGCACTACTAACCACAAGAAGAGGTAAGAGGGCTTTGCATAGAAGGCCCTAAACCCTCCTAGATACTAATATCATTATCAAACATTGACATAATTTTTGTAATAACGCACCTTGACATTACGCCCTCCAATGTGAAAGGGATTGCCAACTTCATCTCTTACCTTTAGTTGCAAACATCAAAAGCCACAGAAATAATGGCATTTGCCCATGATAGGGCTTATCTTACTATTGCAATATGAATTTTTTTAATTTGTGCTCTTAGAGTATAAGTATAGGTTAAAGAGTGTAGTTAATACACTTTTTAACTATTAATATATGTGAAAAAATTAAAAAAGTTGATATTAATTTTAACATTAATATCAAATACTTTAATTTAATTGGTTAGTTATTAAAATTAAAGTCAAATTTTATTTTTTCTATGTAATTTAATGATAAAAAAATACATTAATTGCTTTGTTAACCTGTGTTTTTAAGACAACTTAGAAAAACCCTTCCTCAAGTAATATTAAAAGTACACCTTAATATTAATTCAATGTATTTAAAAAAATTAATTTTTTTAATACTAACTTCAAATTTTAAATCTAAATATAATTTATAAGATAACATTAATTTATTAATAATTCATCATCGTGTTTACAACTCTAATACTACACAACAATCTCCAATTCATCTTCACAAAGAAAAAAAAATGGTAATAATTTGGGTAAAAAATGTGTAGGTCAACATTAGATGTAAAAAAAAAAAAAAAAAAAAGGTGCATTTTGTAAATAAAAAAAAAAAGAAAAAAGAAAAAAAAACCCAACCCCCCGAGCACGTCATAAAAAATAAAAGAAGGCTTCTGCCCTTCCCCCGATTCCATACCTTTATTGTCTCTGCTCGGAGGTCTCTTCCTCTCCACCTTTCTCTCTCCTCAAAAACCCTAATCTGCGTTCTTCGCAATCAACCTTGGATATGGCTAACAGTAATCTCCCTCGAAGAATTATCAAGGTTTCTGCCTTTCGATCTCTCTGTTGACGATTCCGATCCCACCTTTCTCTCTTTGTTTCTTCAGAGACTAGAGGAAAACTTCACGCACTCCTGAAATTTCACTCGTCTTATTAGTTGTTCTTGTTTTTTTTTAGTACTTAGCTTCAATTTCTATGTTTTTAGTGTTTGATTGATCGGAAATTCTTAGTTGTTTTGAGATCTTGATACCTGATTTCCATTTCCTTTTTGATTTGCAGGAAACTCAGCGTCTCCTTAGTGAGCCTGGTAACTAGCTCTGTTTTTGTTTGATCTTTGGTTTTCTTCGATGAGGAATTGAATTGAGGATGCCTGCTTGTTAAGATTTTGAGTGTTGTTTGCGAGCATAGAAATACAATATGTGTTCTATTTTATTTTGATTTGATTTTGATTATGGGGAGATGATCTGTGAATACAGCACCGGGAATCAGTGCTTCACCTTCGGAGGATAATATGAGGTATTTCAATGTGATGATCCTGGGTCCAACGCAATCGCCTTATGAAGGTAATTTTGCTGGTTGGCACATTAAATGATCTGTTTTTCATCAACAGTTCTATGTTGTTTTATTGTATATTAGAGTGTGAAGCGTGAGGGTCTAGTTTAGTTATTCTGTGCATTACTTTGGGAATTGGGTGACGAATATTACAAAAAGGTCATCAGTTTTTTACTGGTTATTCTGTGCTATTAGATGATTTTTTTTTTTTTTAAAAAAAGAGAACTTTTGAGAGGAGATAGATACTTAGATGGCCTATTGAAGATTTCAGTTTCATTTCATTTTTCTTTTCTGTTATTCGCCTGTAGCAACTTTTAGGAAGTTAAAACCAAAGTTTTGTGTCTTTTTTGTTGTTGTTACATCCCATTAGTGAATGCATCCCTCATATAGTTTGGAAGCTTTTTCACTGTTTGTTGGAACTCCTTGCATTTTCTATATCACATTCTAGAATGTAGTTTTCTTTATGATATTCCTTAGGCATTATTGAAAGTGAAATGCAGCTATCTTATGATCTATCTACTGCTCTTTCTTATCAGTGCTCTGATTTCTTCTTCTGATCATTACCAATGTGAGTTAGGGTGAGCTTGTTTGTCATCAATGGTACCATCCATTGCTGGCAGCTAAATAGGAATTAATTAGTGGTGTGGATCAGATTTATCACTAGGCAGTCTTCCATTGTTTTCTTTTAAATATAAAGTTGGTCTTTACTTTTCTTATTTCTTTAATTATAATTTAGATGCCAAGATGATTGTTAAGTTAGTTTCTATTTTTTTTAGTTACTATTTCTTTTTGTAATTATTTTTACGCTTTTAAATGGAAGGCAATGTATTATCTTATTTTGCAATATTTTCTAGGAGGTGTTTTCAAGTTGGAGCTATTTTTGCCTGAAGAATATCCTATGGCTGCCCCCAAGGTACTTGATTTTGAGTCATACACTGGGTTTTCAGTCCTTTGAAATGCAATATTATAGAGCTTCACGTCAAGATGTAGTTGTAAAGGAAAGCATTACATTTAAGAATCCCAGAGGCTATTGTGGTAGATTTTTTAACCAATCCCAGAGGTTCTTTTATCATCTTTCTAACTTGTTTTCACCTATGCTATATGCTTGCATGCCTCTAAAATGTCTTGCTGTGACTCTTGTGCAATAAAGAGGGAAAAATGCTGGTCAGAATAAATTTGATAAACTAGTGGTTTTCTGGAACACTTTTTTTCACATGCCCCTAGCTGAGAATGATATATTGCACATAGATTCATTTCAGATTTCTATCAGCTTAGAAATTTGGTATCGAGGTTTTGTTTGCTATGTGTATAAGGTGCCTATATGTTTTGGAAATTCAATTATGATTTTCTAGAAAATTATGCATCTGCTGAACAAGAAAGATTCTTAATAAAAATGTAAAATAAATCGCTTTCTCAAAATTATTTGATGCTAAGTAGCTGCCTTTGGTTTATGATTGTCCTCCTTGGCAATTACCATGCATTCTATACTTTTTCTTCCTCCTGATAATTTCCATGCAACAGGTTCGATTTCTTACCAAGATATACCATCCTAACATTGATAAGGTTGGCTTTTTCTTATCCCTTTTTATTATAATATAGTTCTAAAGATGTATTTCTTGCCTCTTACAAAGCTAAATATTTCATGCAGCTTGGAAGGATATGCCTGGATATCCTGAAAGATAAGTGGAGTCCAGCTCTCCAGATACGAACTGTACTTTTGAGGTATCATAAATAGTAGTTTGTGTGGTAGTGAACTAACGCTGTTGCAAAACGTATTTTTACTGGAGAGCACTTAAGACGACTGCATATTTGAAAACTTTTTCCAATATAGTTTTCAACACTGCATATTTAGGTTGTCATTTCACTATAATTTTTTGCAATTTCAAAGGGAAAACATGTTTCATACTGCCAAATGTTCAGTCTTTCACCAACAGTGGTGTCTGGAGAGACCAGTGTTGCTAAACCTATACTGACATACATGTTGGTACTTTACCTTGCAGCATTCAAGCACTACTGAGTGCTCCAAATCCGGATGATCCACTCTCTGAGAACATTGCCAAGCACTGGAAAACAAATGAGGCCGAAGCTGTTGAGACAGGTAAATTAATTCAATCTTTCCTCAGGAATTTTAGTTCAAAGTGGGTGTGAAGCATTTCAACCTCGTATCCTAATTGTTGGTTATTGTTTCGCTTCATGCAGCAAAGGAATGGACCCGTTTATATGCTAGTGGGGCGTAGTGAATCGGAAGGAAGTTTGTCTTTTTAAATAACATTCTACGCAATGTAAGCTATTCACTGTTTAGTTTCTTAATGTGGAAATTCAAAGAAAATGAGATGTTTGAACAGTGGTTGACTTCCTTAAAGTTTCCCATTGCTGCTTGTTTATCATATTTTGATCTCGGAAGCTTGGCCATCAAACTGTGTATGATTATATAATATACATTGTTTCTAAATGCTGGATTTGTCTTGTCATTTAGTATCACTCCCAAATCTGCTTTGTCCTAGGAACTTACATTCTTCGATGCATCCATGGCTCTTTATCTTTTACGTGTGGGGGGATCAATGTCAAGAATATTATATAAAAAAAAAGGGGATCAATATCAAAAAAATGGCAAGTTTGTAGAGAACAGTCTATCCACTGATGGTCGGATATCACTATATTGTGATCCCATTATCTATGGGACCGTGGCCTTAATGGTTGCCAAAAAGATGTCGTTTGGGGCTCATTTTTTGTTTTGGGTTTTTTTTGGCCGTTTGGTCCATAAATCATTTAGGAAACGAAATTTTGTATTTTAGTCAGGAAAATTTGCTTGTGCTTCTCTTAACTAGAGATTTACCACTGGTAAACTCATTCAAAGTTCCTGATTTTGTCGTGTTATTACCCAGGCATTCTTTTGCCAAAAAATCAAAAAACTTCAAACCATAAACTAGCCCATAATCATGGTGGGAAAAGGCTCCCATGAACATCTTATGTCTAGATTTTGGCCCAAAATCTAGCCCATAATTGTTGCATCTAATATTTTGCTGATATCATTTTCCATCTTTTTGGTTCATGATGAAAGTTTTGAATTTCCCAATTATAAACCAACACCCCTCTCTATCATTATATGAGGGGAATGAACAAATTCTTTTGGCTAAAGGAAAGATGATTGTGGGAGTGGGACACCATCAATCTTCACAAAACTTAAGTCCATGGACCCAAAGAGTGATAAGACGAAGACGAAAATGGCCCAAGAGGCCAAGAGGTGGGCCATGTGCTTTAGGCTTTGTCTCTCAAAAAACTCATGATTTCAAGACCACAAGGATATCTTGTTTAGTAGCATTATTTGTCCGCAACTAGTGAAGCAAGAAGGAAATGGTCCAATTAGTACTAGGACTAGGACTCATTAATGTTATGATGGTGCTTCTTCTATGGCAAAAGTAAAGTGACTAACAATAATCATCTTCAATTGTACTACTAGATTTTGTAATTTTGCAATAATGTTCACATGATAGAAACATTGTAGCCCAAGGACCCAAGGGGCAGGGTTATAATAATCTTCCCTCTTTTCTTTTCTTTTTTTTTTTTTTTTGAAAATATTGATCCACTACAATAATAAAGTCACAACACCAACCCAACCGGATATAAAAATAAAAAATAAAAGTCCACCTACATATAGTTTATAGCCTTATAGGCCAAGTGACTACATGCACTAATTGCACCCATTGTTTTAAGTAGAAGCAAGTTTTTAAGTGTATTCCTTTAGTTATCAATATAAAATTCGAGTTTGACTCATTAATTAAATTAACAAAACATAACAAGCTTCTTAACCATTCAAGAAGGAAAAAAAAAAATACTAAAAACTTTAATTTATTTTTTATTAGACATAAGTAACACATGATACTATTCTATTTATTGTAAAAATGGGTGTAAATAAATACAAAATTGAAGGGTTGTAATCTACAACAGCTAAACTTTTTGGTGTCATTGTAGAAAGACACAGACACCATACTTTTTCATGGAACAAAGCCGGAAGCAGTGGTTTTGGCTTTCCTTCTTCTTTAAATCTTGTTTTCCTTTCTCCCTTTCCCCGTATTTTTCTGTCTCTCTATATTTGTTGGAATTTTAACGAGTCCCTATCCCTAAAGCCACAGGGCCACACTTCATTTTTACCACGTGTGGCCCACCAATGAAAGCTACCACACTGCACGTGTTAATTACTTAAAACACTGTTTCTGGCTGTCTACTTTACATCCTATCCCCACAATCACAATGCCATCTTCTTGCACCAATTCTAGGGTAGGGTGGTGGTTATTGCCATTATTTGTTATGGATAATGATACTAATATTTCAATTTTTTTAATTAGTATTTGAAAATATTATTTATTTATTAATTAATAAATATTAATTATTTTATTAGATATTAATTAATAATTGTAATTATTAGTTTTTTTATTAAGTTAAATAAAATTAACATTTTTAAAGATAATATTTTATAATTTTAATGACTTTAACATTCTTGTTGGATCATAACAATTCTCCAAAAAAACAATGCCATCTTGTCAATTTTGCTTCTTTCTTTTCGAAATGAACTTAATAGTTTGAAGTTAGTGTCTTTTTTTTTTTAATTCAAATTATAATAAATTACAAAATATCTTTTTTATGAAAGTTATTAGTTAGTAAATCAATAAATGTCATCTATTAGGTGGGTTTTAGTGTTTAAATTCTAACAATTAAAAAATATTTGAAGAATAAGAAGAATTAATATTAAAGTATGCACTAATTTAAAAGATAAAAATTGTCAACGGCGTAAATAGTTCAGTGGTAATTTCTTTCCGTTGAAAGTAAAAGATTTGAATTCGAATCGCATAATATGCAGGTGGGATAGGATAAGGGATAAGAAATAATTACCTCTTGTTATGCAACCAACTTAAAAAAAAAAATAAATAAATAAAAATTAAAATAAGAGGAGGTATTACATTGCAATCCAAGTTGGAAATGACATTTTTGTCACCCATGAATGTGAAGGTGTGAGAAAAGAAAAGGTTGGATCCATGGCAAAAATGTCATTTCTCACCCAGAATGGTATGGTTTGGAACCAAATTCTTATATTCTTATATAAAATTGGAACTAAATCTTCCCCATAGGCACCTTTTGTGATAAAAATCTAGCTAAAAATTTAATTTTCTAGAGGTTCAAAAAAAAAAAATCTAGCTACAAGATAGACATGTTTCATACATTAAAAGTAAAACAAATCCTAAAGGTGACTAGTGAACATCATAGTCATGTGGAGTTCCCACAATTATTTTGAGCCAATTATTTGCTATGCTTGTGAAGAAGATCAATAGCTTATTTGCTAATCTTATAAGTTAGTTATAGTTACTAACATTATAAAAATTTAAAATTTTAATTCTAATTTCAAATGAAAATTTTTTAATTAATATATATTAAATCAGACAAACTCTTATCCATGCGGTAACAAGCCAAGAGAGACGTGAGAGGAAAAAATTTATAACCAATTCCAATTTTTAGTCATTCATGTGTCACAACTGTTACAAACCAAATACTCTAAATTGAAAGTTCACGTCAAGTTTTGTTTTTTAACAAACAAACTTGAGATCTACAACCATATTTCCCCATGTATTTCCAGAGCAGGATTTACTACGTTCTTGCAAATATTTACTCAAACTCCATCCCCCCACCCCGCAAACTTTAAACAGGCAGGTGGGTAGTTTGAATTGGCCATCTAACAGCCTGTACTTTGGCAAACCCTATGAAGCTATATAGCTTTGCTTGTTATGGTCCATCACGCCCTGAAAAGGATAGTTATGTCCACAAAATGTGTATTTCTATCCAATCAAGAGTTCTCCCTTCCCTTTTCCATTGGTGCCCTTTAATCTTCAATCAATTCACAGAAAGGGAAACAGCATTCATTGCAACAGCACAACACATGGATATCAGCTTATGAAAGGTCCTACCAGAAGGGCCTGTGTCACCACCATCGCACATTAGGCACCGGCCAGTTGCACTTTTGGACCTTTTTGGTTAGGTGTGAGGGGATACCCATTTTGGAGACATGGGCAAAGAAACTTAAATGCCCACATGTGAATGTAAAGCCCCTTCTCAAGTGGGAGACTGCTCCATTCACACTTCCTGTGCCCCTACATTAAGGTCAACGGCAGCTTCACTTGCAAACAAATCAAAATCACCTAATGAAAACAGTCCATAAACATTCATTAATGTCTCATTAGTGTCCCCTAGGAATGCCCCAATGCCAGTGGTTAACAGCTCGAACCTCGAATTCAAACCTTGTAACAGACGGCTTAATCCGGAAGAAGAGATGACTATTCACAGTAGTATCAGTAACATATTATATCATCATAAAATGTACCCAAGAAAAATGCAAACATTCATTAATTACACTAAAGCTAAAAACAGTGCTACTTATAAAGGTATCAACCAACTAACGGCGGGGAGCTCAGGCCAAGCTGGCTCTCTACACTATCCAGAGAGGGCACAGAACAGATTATAATTATATTCAGGAAAAAAAAAGAAGTGATGCTATAGGATAATTTTTTTATATTATTTTTTAATATCATTTTTACATATTATTAAATAAATTAATTAATGTATTTAATATCATGAGTTTCACATAAATTAAAAAAATTAATCATTTTAATGACATATCAAATTATAAAAAAAAATGATAAAAAAAATTATACAAAAATCATTTCTAAAAAGAAAAAGGGTAATAAATTGTGTCAACTACCCAGTGCACTCCTTAATAACAGAACCAACTTTCATTTAAAAACAGACGTACTTTTTCTACTCTTTTCTCAAGACCAGGGCAGATGTTTCCTATTCCTTCAGGCAGTGACAGAAGGGATCCTACTAGGAATTGAAGATTTTTCATTATCTGAATTGATAGGTGAGAGATCAAGAAATTTGCAAGGGAACATAAATATGGAGTTGAGAGAAGATGAAAACAAAAAATGGGGATTTTATTGATGAAATGGCAGAGAAAAGAAACAACAATATTGATAACAAGATATTCATCCTTGTTTTACTAACACAGTAACTAACTACCCACCAGACAGACATCCAATCTCCCACAGGGCTTTCCAATGTTTTGTATATATCATCACATGTGTACATGTACAGATCCTCTTCTAACAGCCTGCCAATCCTTTCACTATGTCCCTAAAATTTAACTAAACTTAATCAGATTGTACAGTTTTGATATTTCACTTTATCTCTCTCTCTTTTTGTTTCGGTTTTTTTTTTTTTTTCACAGAATGAAAGTAGTGATACAAGAACCAGCTGACCTACATCAAAATGGGAAAAAGTTCAAAGAAGGAAGGAAAAAAAAAAAAAGAAGGGGGAATGGACGAAGAAAATGGAACCCTAGAGCAATGAGTAATAAATGAATAAATGAAAACTGCAAAAGAGAACGAATTAAGCTAATTCTCTGGGTTCCTCTGGCATTGGCTGCTAGTAAGATTATTTTGTAGCTCTGACTTATGTCACAGGTATCTGGGAGTCCTTATGTGGAGTCAAAGAAAGATTTGGAGGGCAGTGGAAGAGTTCCCAACAAAATGGATGCTTCCGCAGGAAGTAGAAATCACAAAAAAGGGCAGAGAAGTACACCATATTCACGAGGTCTAAAAGCTGTAATGCCTCACCGAGTGTTCCAACATCTCCCGGCTAGGGCAGACAATTTCCTTGAGCCGGCTACCACTTCTGTATATTTTGAATGTCGGTACAATCTTCACATTCTCAGCACTTGCAACTGCTGGGTTCTCAACAATGTCCACCTTCATTCAACACCACAGCATGTAAATAAGCAACTGGCAGATAAAGCAAGAAGTTAGTAGCATGAAGTGGGGTATTTACCTTGAGGAAATTTATGGATGGATAGCGGCCACACAATATATCCACAAATGGAGATATCTGCTTGCATTGTGAGTCAGAGGCTGCTTTAAAATGGACTACAGAGACACCTGCAGTTCAAAACTAATTCTCAAGAGGTTTGCAAAAGAAGAAAGTCTTAAGGCAGTGGGCAGGTGAAAACTGAAAACATTATTAGTATTATTTTTTCATGTTGAAAACAACCGACAACATAATTGTTGAGTAAGACACCTGGTAGAGATATTGCAGCTTTGAACTGCTCAACACCAGACACTTCCTCTACTTCACCACCAAACTTCATATTATGGACTTCTTCTCCGCGAGATTTCTTCAATGCAACTAGTGCATGAAAAAAAGATTCAGAGACGTCATTGTCGTCCGGAAGTTTCCTCCGCAAAACCTCATAATCTCTTACAGCATCAGCCCATCTTTCTAGCTGTAGTAACACAATTGTCAGTAGTTTGAACCAAAAAAATCTACCCATATGCAAGACCTTAGGAACCACATACATGATAAAGCAAGCTTAAGAAATACATAACCTTGCTATTTGAGGCAGCCCTTCGAAGAAGGGCTTTTGTGTAACTGGGATGGATACGTAAAGCTTGGTCACAGTCCTGGATAGATCGCTCCCACAGCCCACGCTTAGACCAACAAGCTGCTCTATTGCAATAGAGAACTTTGTTTGATGGATCAAGCTTGAGACCTTCACTGTATGCTGAGCAGGCCTCAGTGAACCTTTCAGAGTTGAAAAGATCATTGCCACGAGCACGAGCTCTTGCAACCAACCTCACATTGTTAAGCAGTACTGCAACTTCAACATTTCGAGGGTCAATCTGCCCTGCCTTCTCTGCAGCTGTAACTGCATCCTCAAACCTGCAAGACATCCATCATCTGTTTTTAGACTCTCCCAGAAAACTTTGGCATCTTATTTCTGACAAAGCTTAGTGTTTTTGAACTAACCTTCCCAGTGCCATCTCAATTTGTGATTGGACAAAGAAAGGATAAGCTTTGGAAAGCATCCCAAAAAACCTAGTCTGGGAGCAGGAGGTGGTATATGATTCAACTCTGGGAATGCTTGATAGGCTAGATTCAGCATCATCAAGCTGGTGGAGTTTCAAAAGGGCTTCTACTCTACACAAAGAAAGCTGTGAATTCAATTTGAACCAGTTCAGCCCTTTTTTCACCTCAATAACTACACTAAAATTTCAAACTTCAATCCATGAATGCAAAGTTTTCAGGCATATGTTTCACCTGAGGACAAAAGTCTGCCCCGGAAGCAACAGCAGCCTCACCTTCCCTCAATGCACTTTCCCAGTCTCTGATCCTCCGAGCATCTGTGCATTTGTTAAGATGTTTTTCCACTGCCTGCAACTTGTACAACTCAGCTGGATCTGGCTGCTTTCCAGGAAAATAAAGATGCTTCCTTGCATTCTCAACCTGCCCTAACCTGTAAAAGAAAGATGATATAGGTGCCTTGATGTCACCAATGCCTTTACGAAATTGATTCCTAGTTGCTTCCTTGATAGTAGTAGGTGATCCTTTGAAAATGGACTCTAGGAACCTAGAGCTTCATCTATTAAATTAAACAGAAAACCCAACACCTAGCCTAGGATTGCCCAGAGACAACTAAGCAAGCAATCAAGGAACTTTATAAAGAAGATCAACGTGATAATACACATAAAATCAAGTAGAAGCAGGAGAATAGTAGATTCTTGGAAATCCAGTTTCAAAAGCAAAGTGTGAACTGTGAATGAACATGACCCTTTCAATAAACACAGCAAACATATGAATAGGCAACTCGCAACACAACTGAATCTAACAATTCAACAGAGGGTAAACCTTCTCACCAATGCCAATTAAACCATTACCATAACTCTCAGTCACACTCATTCGCCAAACCCTTCACAGAGCCTTTGGACATAAGCAGTCATCAACAAAAATTAATGAAAAAGATACACATCCTCCATTCAACCTTCTTGGAAGGGGGAAAAAATCCATTATTACTAATTAGATAAAAAAATCTACTACCACCCACCAAAATTTATCCACAATATTTATCAAATCAAAACAAAATTCTTTCATCTATGTATGCCCAAATCTATCATAAGCAACTCTTACCAGACAGCCAATACAAAGAAACTTAACTTCATCCAACAACTCTCTTGCAATGTGGATCACAGCATCAACAACACTAGCAATCACTAACCATAGTGACCAGCCATTATCATAAAAAATAAAAAAATAAAAAAATAAAAAAATAAAAGATCTTGATTGCTTTGCACTCACCTAAGCATCAACGAAGCCAACCTCTGGTGAGCCCTCCCATAGTTAGGATCCAACTTCACCGCTTCCTCACACTCCGTCACTGCCTCTCCTATCCTCCCCAGACTAGTCAAGGCTGCTGCCCGGTTGCTCCTGTAGGCTGCATTCCCTGGCCACAACGCTATTGCCCTGTCGTACAACGCCAGTGCCTCGACAAAATGCCCCTTCTTATAGACGTCATTCCCCACTCTCTTCACCTCCTCTGGATCAACACTCGACATTGCCCACCCCATTACGTCTATGCCACCGCCTCGTACATTGGCTGTGCCCCCAGAGTCAACAGAAGCAGGTCTTGATGCACCACTTCCGCTGCTTCCGCCACGCATTATACTACCATGCCCATAGTTACCCGACCCAGATCCCAAAACGTCGGTCCTGGTGCTCCGGCTCGTCACCATACCCGTTTTAAGTACTCTCCCAGGCGGACAGATATTTCCGGTGGGTGGGACGTTTACCTGAGGAGATGTCACCGAGCTCTGACCCGAATAGATCAACGGGTGGGTTGTGGTGCCCGAGTCGGATCTTGCGTGACCCGGTTTCAGATTCCTGTTGGGGCCAGTAGGGCTGCTCTCACTCGAACCAGAGAGTTCGCCGGAATGGTTACCGGGTCCGGATTCGGATCTTCTAGATACATGATAGTTCCCATTCCTACCCGAAACGGATCCGGATGAGCTAGAACTGGAACTTGTGGTGGTTGTAGTCGTGGTAGGCGCACTGGACCGAGGTCTGAGCGGCGAAACCGGCGATCCCAGATCGAGTTCTCGGAAATCCGGCTTGTTAGCCTCACAACTAAGTGACTCCCTCAACTGATCGGCGAGCCTATCGCACCCCAGGTCCGACACAGGTTTCCCAGAATGCGACATTTCGTCTGTCTTCCACCCCAGCAACAAAACCAAGCAAGAAGCAAATTTGGCAAAATGGGTCCTTCCAATTCTCTCCCTCTTCCCCTCTAAGCCCTTCCCCCTCCAGAGCTCGTTTCAGCAAAGTCTGTAAATGGAACCAATGGAACTACAATACAGAGAGCAAGAAGTAAATGCAGACAGCCATAAGCATAGAAATGAAGCCGGAACCAGAGACTGTGAAGAAGAAGACATTAAGGGGGGGGAGGGGAGGCGAGAAGAAAAGAAAGAGATGGGTATCTCGTGATATAAAAGGAGGAAGCAAAGAATGAATGCAAGTAGTTTAGATAGAGAGAGTGGCTTTAAGAGAGAAAGGGGCTTTCAGAGAGAAGAGAGAGAGGGAAGAGGAGAAGAAGAAGAAGAAGAAGAAGAAAGGTAGAGAAGAAGCTTTTATTCATTTTTATTTATTTATTTTACAGTCTCCATTTCATTTATTAATAATGGTGTGCCGTAATTACATTCTTACTAAAACAAATGTAAAATCCATAATTGGAAAAAAAAACGTACCGTAATCAAGTTTTTTTAGGATAATGATTTGCGAGACGAAAATTGAGCAAAAATGAGAGTCGACAAGTGAAGACAAGTGAAGTTGGTTAAATTACAAAATTACACATTTAACCAACTTCACTAGTCGGCTTCCATTTTCGCTCCCCACTTTCGTCCCGTAAATCATTATCCGTTTTTTTATGGTAAAAAAAAAAACATAATCAAGTTAGTACTAATTTAGTGTCCAAAACATAATCTAAGTTATTTCTCCTTCATACTAACTTAAACTACTAAGTAAAAATAAATAAAAATATAGATTGTAAAAAATGAGTAAATTTTAATAATTAAAAAAATTAGTTCTTATTCATCCTTATCTTTTAAAAATTAAATGAAAAATTATTTCAAAA